TTAATCAGATTTTAGTGTATTATAAATGTTTCATTACCCAAAAAAGTAAAAAATATGCGACAACACTTGTTGACTGCCCAGACGATTTAGCATCTGTGGGCGTATGTTTCGTTGCCTGGCAACCTATCTTTCAAAGATTGAGAGAAGCAAATCTAAAGCTTCCAAATGTCATTTTGCTACAAAAAAAGTCTTATACCTTGGGCATATTTTATCAAAAGATGGAGGCGATACAAACCTTTCCACAGCCAAAAAATGTTAGTGATATACGAGGATTCATAGGGTTATGTAGCTACTACAAAAAATTTGTGAAAAGCTTTGCACAAAAAGCTGCGCGATTAAACAAACTTTTTCGCAAAGATGAACCTTTTAAATGGACAGCGGATATGGAAGAAGCTTTTCGGAATTTAAAGGATGCCTTTTTAGCACCTCCTATTCTAAACTTCCCAGACTTCAATAAAGAATTCGTTCTATACACAGATACCAGTTCACATGCTATTGGATATATTTTTGGGCAGAAGAATGAAGCAGGACAGGAAGTGGTAATATGTTATGGCGGAAGAGCAATGAATGAAAGAGAAAAGAAATGGCATATTACAGAACAAGAGTGTCTGGCTTTAATAGGAGTCAAACAGTACCATGTTTACCTTGCCAACACAAAATTCCAAATATTTACTGATCACATTGCACTCTCCTTCATTAAAACCATGGAATGTAAAACAGGTAGATTACTTTGATGGTCATTGTTCCTCCAAAGCTACCAGTTTGACATTAAGCACAAACCAGGAAAGACCCATAATAATGCTGATGCCTTATCCAGAAGATCTTATTTTGATAAGGAGAGTTATGAGACGATGTGTAACAATGTTGCAAGTTTAGTTGCCCAAAAGAATTTGAGACATGGTCAGAAAACAAAACAACCCCAAAATTCACTTAAGAGTCAGACAAAAACGGGGGATAAACTGAGGTCAACTGCAGAAGTTTTTGTTGCTGCTGAAAATCAATATCTGCAACAGGATCCAGTAAGCATATTTCAAGAAGTTTTGGCTATTTCCTTGCCTCAATTACAAGAAGCACAAGCTGCAGATCCGCAATTGCTTCAGTACATAAAGTTTCTGCAGGATGACATCTTACCAGATGACCAGAAAATGGCTAGTAGGATTCTTAGTGAGCATAGCTTTTACCAAATCACTGATGGCATCCTATATCATTTAATCTGACCCCGAGGTATAGGAACAAGAATCGAGAGAGAGGTAAAGCAGTTATGTATTCCGCAAGACATGCGAGATGACATCCTGAAAGCCTACCATGATTCCCTTGGACATCAAGGACAAGATAGAACACAGAGGGCAATCCAGTTAAAATACTTCTGGCCACGGATGTACTCTGAAATCGAATATTAGGTCAAATCATGTGAAGTGTGTCAACAGGCAAAACCATATTACCACAAGAAGCCAGCAACACTAATACCAATTCCTGTAGAATCGACCTTCAGCAGAATTCACATGGATATCATTGGTCCATTAAAAAAGTCATCAGAAGGATATAAATCAATCCTGTTGGTCGTCTGTCCTTTCTCGAAATGGATTGAAGCATTCCCCTTGAAATCAACAGGAACATCTGTAATTGCCAAGATCCTGTTTACAGAAATAATTTGCCGCTATGGGACACCAAAAGAAATCTTCACAGATAGACAAAACTTCATGAGTAAACTGTTGGTAGAATTATGCCAACTACTTCACATAAAGAAACTTACTACTGCATGCTATAGGCCTCAAACCAACGCAGCATGTGAACGTATGAACCAAACCATATACAACGCACTACAAGCCTATATCAAACCAGACCAGTCTGATTGGCCAGATGTTCTTCCAGCAGTCCTCATGGCTTACAGAGCAACTCCAGCAACAGAATCTACCAACCTAAGTCCATTTCAAATGTTGTTTGGCAAGGAGCATACTCTCCCAATAGATATTGAACTGCTACCAGTTGAAACATTAAGCAGCAAGGATGCCAAACAACATTATGAATGAATTACACAAAACTTAGAGATTGTGAAAGATATTGCAAGGAAAAACATAACTACAGCTCAAATAAAGTACACTCTTCAGCATGATAAGAAAGCTGAAAAGCCCAAGTTTAAAGAAGAACAAATGGTATGGTTATGCTGTTCTAAGACTGAAACAGGATTCAGTAAGAAACTTCAAAGGAAATGGGTTGGACCTTATTATATCTGCATTGACCTAGGCAATTACACTTATAAACTTCGTTGAAATGCAGATTCCCAACTTGTAAAATCACCAATCCACGCCGACCGTTTACGTCCTTACATTGATCCTCCTAAAAGGCCAACAAACCCAATTGAAAGTGATGAAATTTTCAACCCTGAGGAAATCAATTCAGATATTTCTCAAACTACAGATGCACACCCATAATCTGCCTAACACAATGGGTAGTCAGAACCCAAATAACTCCACAAAGTCTAATACACAAGATGATACTAATATTCCTAATACACCTGATAAAGACATGAAAATGACGCAAACACAGACAAAATTTGAGGAAGATCATATTGCTAAAATTTTGCAATCTTCAAAATATCATGGGCAGTTTTATTTGGTACAAAACTAGATTAAAGAACATTAAAGGACCACAATGGATTATTCTCGATTTATTGCCCCAAGATCTGGTAAGACAATTCCATGCCACAAAAACACAAAAGGCTTTGTAAAAAAAGAGGCGTGCTTAAAACAAGTAGTGTTTTTTTTTCTTTTTGATATAAGGTGCTATAGTTAGCTACATGTATATGGGTATCAAAGAATGATCACACTTCCACATTCTGTCATATGACTATGAGTAAATCCTTTATTGTTATTATCGTTGGTATGTTTTTATTTGACCACATATCTTTTTTAACCCTATACTTACTACATTATTTTGGTTAGTAATTTTTATACACCCACATTTTCATGTGGACGTATATTGTCGTCGCCCCTGTCCGTCCGTCCATCCATCCATCCACAATTTGTTTGTGGACACTCTACAGGTCACAATTCTTATCCGATTTTGACAAAACTTAAAATATATAGGTTTATCTCCAAAAGATCTCGGTTGCTTTCGATATTGGCATATATCGGATTGAAACTTCCTGGATTATGGCCCCTGATTGTACGAAAAATCAAGTTTTTAGCTTGTGGACCCTATAGAGGTCACAATTTAAATCATATTTTGATTAACTTGAAATGTAAGTTTATAACCCAAAGATCTCGGTTCCTTTCGATATTCGCGCATATCGGACCGTAACTTCCTGAATTATGGCCCCTGATTGTATGCAAAAATCGCATTTTTAGCTTGTGGACGATATAGAGGTCACAATTTTTATCCGATTTTGTTGAAACTTGAAATGTAAGTTTATAACCCAAAGATCTCGGTTCCTTTTGATATTCGCGCATATCTGACCGTAACTTCCTGAATTATGGCCCCTGATTGTACGAAAAATCGCATTTTTAGCTTGTGGACCCTATAGAGGTCATAATTTTTATCCAATTTAAAGAAACGTTTTAGTATATCACCGTTAAACCCTAAGAATGGTTGAGTTCGAATTTCGTGAAAATCGGCCCAAAACTGACAGACAAAATGGCCGTCCCTCGTTCTCAAATAGCGTAAAAATATGGTATATCAAGGTTGTGGACCATCTAGAGGTCACAATTTTCTTCCGATTTTGATAAAACTTGAAATGTAAGTTTATAACCCAACGATCTCGGTTCCTTTCAATATTCGCACATATCGGACAGTAACTTCCTGAATTATGCCCCCTGATTGTACGAAAAACGTTTTAGTATATCACCGTTACACCCTAAGGATGACTGAGTTCGAATTTCGTGAAAATTGGCCCAAAACTGACAGACAAAATGGCCGTCCCTTGTTCTCAAATAGCGTAAAAATATGGTATATCAATGTTGTGGACCCTCTAGAGGTCACAATTTTCTTCTGATTTTGATGAAACTTAAAATGTAAGTTTATAACCCAAAGATCTCGCATATCGGACTGTAACTCCCTGAATTATGGCCCCATATTGTATGAAAAATCACGTTTTTAGCTTGTGGACCCTATAGAGGTCATAATTTTTATCCGATTTAAAAAAACGTTTGAATATATCACCGTTACACCCTAAGGATGGTTGAGTTCGAATTTCATAAAAATAGGACCAAAACTGACAGACAAAATGGCCGCCCCTCGTACTCAAATAGCGTAAAAATATGATATATCAAGGTTGTGGACTCTCTTGGGGTGACAATTTTCTTCTGATTTTGATGAAACTTGAAATGTAAGTTTATAACCCAAAGATCTCGGTTCCATGTCACCATGGTCTATCAAGACCCTATAATGACCTTTCTATGGTTGAATTAATTATGGGTTACCTTAACACTGATATAACATCTTAGAGCATAGTCCTCTTAACGAGTATTCTTGTACACTTACATGTAACAAATGTATAAAATGAATTGATATTGCTGGATCTGGTTGATTCGGCGTCCATTTTATTTGATGTGTGCAATGCTTATGTGGAAACCTGTTTAATGGTTTCATTGGTACCGGAAGTGACATGTTTAGGGTAACGTGGCACTGGTGAAACCCGTCATTACTGCATCGCAGTTCTAGTTTGTGATAAATTTTACAAATCTTGCTAAAAAAAAAAAGAATGTTAAAGGTGTCAAAATGTCTATATTTGACTTTAAAAAAAGTGTTGTGACTAACAATGGCCCCTTGATAAGAACAACAGATTCCCTGTGTCTTGGAGCTAAGTATGGAACAATAGAAGCGCTCCAGACTGTCTAGTTGTAGATGTAAGGGTGATAAAAAAAAAAGGATGAGATTGATAATAACCAAGGCTAGCTTGAATCATGACCAAACACTTGGTTTTAACCACTTTTAATGGACACAGAAAACCTACAGATCGGGTTAATCCATAATCTTACAGTACACTGTTTGTAATTTCTCACCTGTGACCTCTAATTCATAACACATTGTCTTTAGAGGTTTAGGCCAATCAGTCTTATTGGCTATTCACCAGTCAAGTCGGGCTGTGATTGGTCAATGGATTTGGAAGGGAAATTAAAATGTCTGTTGATGAAATCAGTGTCAATGAAGTATAGTGATTGAATTGAGGGGGAGTTGAAAGGCTCATCATGGGGAGTTTTAACAACTTTCAACCACTTAAAAACATTGGATCTGGAAATGAAAACAATGGGCTGTTGGATTAGCTACTCCTTATCTATCCTTTGGTGTATATGATGTACTTCTAAATCTTAGGCAGGTGACATTTCTCATTCAAGGTATAAAATTTGACTGACATTTAAAAATGGCTACTCGTGCACCTTTTAGTCATGTATTATATTTCTGAGTTTGAGTCTGTTTTGTCATAAATTGAAGTGTTATTTGGTAGATAAGATTCAGACAATGGAATATTATGTTTAGGGACCAAGATTTAGGGAATTTGTGTGGCCTTGTTAAGGGGTTTATATTGGTTTAGAACTAGAAGGTTGGAGAATTTGCCAGTGTTTAATTCATTTGAACTATGTTTTAGAGGATATAAATTTGAAAATTTGGGGTTAGTTATTTGTTTGTGAAGTTTTTGCCTACATGGAAATTTTTTTTATTATATAATAATTGTTTTATCATTGACAGTACGCCAACATCAAAACATGACGTCACATCTGTATTTTAAGTATTATATAATTTTAACACCAATCATATTTAATTTAAAATTCGGAAATGATGACCAGATTACATGCTGTGATGGGGAATTTATAGATCAGGCCTAATGGAAATTGTAAGTTCACAACTGAACATGTGCATACCCCCTAAGAATCTGATAAATATAGATTTATGAAGAACGATTTCTCAAGGATAATTCAATAAATCAATGACATCAAATTCAAACAGTTCCATACCTGTTGATTGGACACATAATCACTCCACCAATATTTCTCTTTATTGTAGGCTATACTCATTCAAATTTAACACCCAAGTTTAAATAAACACATATAATTTAAATAAAGCAAATCATCTTTTCATTTAGATTGCTTTGGTTTCAGTACACTAGAAATTGCAACCTTATGTTTACAAAGTAATTTATTTCATCATTTGATTTAATTATAAAACGAGTTATAAAACAATAGAATTTGAGTTTCATGTATAAAATTTGAGATATAGAATTTGAGTTATAAAAAGATGTCTGAATATAAAGGATTTTTCGATTTGTATACTAAATTATTATTATGTTCAGTATATTTGATAATTGTTTTGCTTGTAAAGCTTATAATAAATAATGAATAACCCTTCTGGGAAAATACATTTACATGTATCTGTTGAAGGCTACACCACTTGTTCAATACATACATGTACATGTATTCCAGACAAAACAGATAATACTTTTATATACAACATTCACTTTCAAATTTTAAGACTTAAATCAGGAGAAATGTGCTAGTTCTGGATTGACCAACACCAGACAGAATTATGTTGTTGTTGTTTATTAAAGATTTAACGTTCAATACAATGAATATGATAGTATGGACAGTTTGAGTTAATTAAAATATGTACACTTGAAAATTGTTTAAAACAGGTTGATTTAATTAAATTATTTACACTTGAAAATTGTTAAAAACAGGTTGATTTAATTAAATTATTTACACTTGAATTAATGAAATAGTTCTACTTATACCATGAGTATTTTTAAGTTTTTAATCCATAGAGCATTATTTTACACTTTTAAAAAGTGTAATGATGTTTATTTAATTAATACATTGTATAAACAAAGCTTCAATGCAATCAACAGAGGAAAGTTTGTCATGAAATATTGAGTTATTACAAGGATTATAATTTAATCAGGTGGGATTAACATCAGTTTTAAATTAAGCTTGTTGTTTTAATAGTTTCATTAAATCTATATAGTCTGTCTATAGTTTGAGTTATTGGTCATATTATTATTTGTCTTCAACACAGTCACTTAATTTCAAGTTTTCATTTTTCTTGCTCCAGGAGATTTATTTAGTTAGGAATTGTTTTTGGATAATATAAAGATCAGGATGGGAAAGATAGGATGTTGGTTACAGTCGGATGGAAAGGTACAAGTATTGATTTGGTTCGATATATCATTTTAAAACTGATAATAAGGAGAGGGCGTAAATCCTGCCTTGTCTGTTCATAAATTATTTGAATCAAACATATTATATTACATGTAATTTGGCAATATTTTGTATCCAAATAAAATATTAAGACAAGAGTGTTGAGAATTGTTCGCCCATGGGATGAATTTTAGAGAAATTGAGATATGTCTTCGTAATGTCATGTATGCCGATTGATTTGAACAACTGTACTCCCCACACCAGAGTTACTCCACAAAGCTACCAACAATTTTATCAGTTTTTAATATTTTATTTGATTTTACAGTTACGAGTAAATCAGGCAGCTGTTGAAGAAGAAATGACAATGACAATCCATGAAGAGTCTGAAAATGTACCAAAGTTACGACACCATGGTGTCAGCTACATTGATAAAAACCAAGCTAGAGCCAACGTTGTTAATGAAATAATCAATGCAGAACGTGAATATTCTAAACATCTGAAAGATGTGGTCGAGGTAAAATTAGTTCGACTTTTATGTGGAAAAGGGGAGAAAGGTTGGTTGTTTAGTCCATCCTAAGAATGTCTCTAGTTTCATATCCCAGCATGATTCAAGCTCTAGCGATGAGATGTAACTTTCTATGCAAGATAATCGATATACATGAAATTCCATGTACAATGTACATGTAGTTTTACCATTCTGTTTCACATATTTGCTTAGTACACCATGGTGTCAGCTACATTGATAAAAACCAAGCTAGAGCCAACGTTGTTAATGAAATAATCAATGCAGAATGTGAATATTCTAAACATCTGAAAGATGTGGTTGACGTAAAATTAGTATGACTTTTATGTGGAAAAGGGGAAAAAGGTTGGTTGATTAGTCCATCCTAAGAATGTCCCTAGTTTCATATCCCAGCATGATTCAAGCTCTAGCGATGAGATGTAACTTTCTATGCAAGATAATCGATACACATATTTTATGGAAGACAAAATGGGACAATATTCAGTAATTTCATGTTTCTACATTCCAGTTTCAACATTTTATATACAAAAGCAATATTTTAAATTGTTGAAAATGTTCTGGTATAATTATCTTGGTAATTCATTTTATTTTTCTGGACTTTTTCAAGACTTTTTGAAGCGTAGAAAATATTTTCATAAGAGTTTAAATTCCAGATTTTTTTTAGATGCTTTCAGAAACCAATGAATTTATTTCATTGTCAAGTAAAATTAATAAATTATTTTTTAATTTTAATATTTAATGATATAAATGTTACCGGTAAAATGTTGAAATTGAAACATAAAGTAAATATTTTGTGCATGAACTGTCGAAATAAAAATGTAGAAACAACAATCATCAATTTAAATTATTTATTTCATATACATGTACCTACATGTAATGTTGAAACTGGAATGTAGAAACACAAATCATGAATATTGTCCCATTTCGTCTACCATGATATTTAGTAGTTTTGTGTTAAACACTTCATATTTTCAGGGTTATGTGAAACAAGCTCGCAAACGACCAGAAATGTTTAGTGAAGAGAAGATTACGACCATGTTTGGAAATATTGAGGAAATTTACACCTTTGCTAGTAAATTTCACACTGAATTGGAAAAACATATAAATCCTACCTTCCTTCATCTAAGTGAAATTGGTGGCACTTTCCTCGATAATGTAAGTCCTGCAACCTGTGTGTGTAAAATATTTAATGTTGATAGATTTTACAAAACTAATCAACACATTGAGTTTAAGTAATATCAACCCATTAAGGTTAAGTAATATCAACCCATTGAGTTTAAACAATATCAAACCACTGAGTTTAAACAGTATCAACATTGAGTTTAATCATTATCAACGATATCAACACTTCCATTTTTATGTGCCCAAATGGAAATGTGGTTGTATATTATTGTCACCCCCATCCGTCTTTCGTCCACAATTTCTTGTGAACACTCTACAGACTACATTTATCATCTGATTGTTTTAAAATTGATATATGTTGTTTACACTAGTGAAATGAAGAATCCTACATGTACATGTATTTATTTTCAATAATTTCTGTTAATTTCTTTTGGAGTTATGGCCCTTGTTTCGCTTTGTTGTACCTTGTGAACCCTCTAATGACATAAGTTATCATCCGATCTGTATAAAATTGATATGCAGCATGTATATTAGTGAAAAAAAGAAGCCTATTGAATTTCAGCAATTTCTGATAATTACGTTGAGAGTTATGGCCCTTGTTTCACTTTGTTGCACCTTATGAACACTTTAACGACAAAAGTTATCATCCGATCTGTATGAGATTTATATGCCTCATATAAAATTATAAAAACGAACACGCCAATTGAATTTTAGCAATTTCCGTTAATTACGTCTAGAGTTATGGCTCTTGTTTTACTTTGTTCAACCCTATGAACACTCGAACAACAAAAGTTTATGCCCTTGTTTAACTTCGTTGAACCTTGTGATTGCTCAAACGACAAAAGTTATCATTCGATATGTATGAAATTTATATGCATCAATTAGATTATTGAAACGAAGAGGTCTATTGAATTTCAGCAATTTCTGTTAATTACGTCTAGAGTTATGGCTCTTGTTTTACTTTGTTCAACCCTATGAACACTCGAACAACAAAAGTTATCATCCAATCTGTATGAAATTTATATGCATTATTTAAATTAGTAAAATGAAATTTCAATAATTTCTGTAAGTTACTTCCAGAATTACGACCATTGTTTCAGTTCGTAGAACCTTGTGAATCCTCAAACAACGAAAATTATAATCTGATCTGTATGATATTGTCTTGTAAATGCCCCCCCCCCCCACACTTTACCTGCAAAAGAGTAAAAATGCGAGCAGCAACTCTTGTCAACCGCTCGGACAATTTAGCTGCTGTGGGCGTATGTTTCGTTGCCTGGCAACCTTATCTTCAATCATGGTTGTGAAGAGATTCTGTTCTTTCAAAACAGTTTGTTAGAAGTTTATTTCAATAATTTATTTGATCCTTTCTGGGTTTTTTAGAGTAAACATTTTGAGATATATTCTGATTATTGTAATAACCATCCGTCTGCCTGTGATGAACTCAAAGAAAGTTATCGTAATAAAAGATACAGACATTTCTTCGAGGTGAGTCAATGAAATATGGTATACAATTTATTTACATCAACTTATTTATCTCTACCTCTTTCATTTTGCTCTCTCCATAGAAAATCTAGTAATTGTTCTTTATGAATATTGGAAATTAAGATAGCCTAATGAGGAAAATCATCATGGCATAGGGCCGTCATATCTATTCATATTGATGAGTCAGACGTCATCCTTCATTTGATTATTAATTCAATTGTTTATTTTATATGCACATGTTTCATTAATTCATATATATTGTATAATTTTATTTCAGGCCTGTCGTCTGCTTCAAGACATGATAGAAATACCACTAGAAGGTTTCTTGCTCACACCTGTTCAAAAAATCTGTAAATATCATCTTCAATTAGCGGAACTTCTTAAATACACACCTTTAGATCATCCTGATCACACCAATGTAAAGGGGGCGTTGGAAGCCATGAAGAAAATTGCAACATTGATCAATGAACGTAAACGAAAGATGGAGAGCATTGAAAAAATAGCAACCTGGCAGATGTCTGTGGATACGTGGGAGGTAAATAATATAATAGAAATTATCGACTTACATAACCTTATATATAAATAAGGTAGCCATACACCTGTAGGGAAGCTGCAGGCGAGATAATCTAGCTTACTGAGAATAATAAATACATTCCTGAAACAGTGATGGGATTTTGCCCGTATATTCCGGACTTGTCCGAATCTTTTTTCCAAACGCCCAAAATTGTCCGACCGGGAATATGCCCAATCGGACATCAAGACATGGTGAATAATATTCAAAATTCCGAAATTAATATAGTTTACTGAGTGTATAACTACCACTCAACCCGATTATCGTCGATAATACGCTGGGTTTATTAGGTAATTATGTGATCAACGTATTTATCGTGTTATACCGTCTATAGTATAAACCTACCTTGATTTAACTACTTAATCTGCCTTGATTGACTGACTTAATCCTTCGTCGGACAATTCATCAATCTAATCTTAAACAGACGTCATTGCTTTCTCATTTGTCGGGCATCTTAATCGCATTGATGTTAGCCGACATCATCTATAATTAACTAATCATAGATGTCACATATCGTAAGAGTAAATAACACCCTAAATCAATGGACAGTCATTTTGTCTACGATATCTTTTACGTCTTTTAAGAATCCATATAGAAATTCTCATCCACAGTGGCACTTTCCCTTGATCTCGAGCGTGGCACGAATATTGCTTAACATATTATTAGGCAGTGCTTACTATGAAGCCGTGTGATATGAGTCACGTAGGCTATTAGTCTCTATTATCCAGAAAAATATTCTACGAATATGTTGAAGACTAGGAGTTTCTGGGTGACCGAGACTAGTACGCACCCAGCAAAATAACAAAAAGGGGAGGGGCTACCAATAGCTATATGAGCAGAAATTCTAACGTATTTGTAGGCGGGAATTAAGAAGCATGTCAATCATTCTGCTGTGTTGCCTATCATGCCTGTCACTCTGTCGTGACTATGAAAGAGTGTTATTCGCTGAAGTTAGCTATGCCTGTTTATAAGTGATTTAACTATTTCGGAAGTTCTGCATTCATTTTCTGCCGTATAAACGAAGACACGTAATTCTAAAGGAATATTATGGTTGTGAATTTGATGCCAAAGCAGGATTGGCAAGCTTTCATTCAACATATTACGAAAATGCTTAATTTTGTAGGACATTTACTGACATAAATTTGAATGCCGTACGGGAATTAAGTGTGAAAAATAGCGAGGTCACAAATTTTATTACGTACGGGATTTGAATATTTTGTTGATATGTGGTTTTTAATTGTGGTATGAATTGAATACTGTACGGGAATTAAATATGAAAAATAGCGAGGTTCACCTATTTTTATTACGTACAGGATTTGAATATTTTGACATGTGACTTTTGTGGTACGAATTTGTCTGCTTAAATAACGATAAGAGTTATGCCCCTTTATTTTCGGTAAAATGTCCGACAAGAAAAATTTTGAAATCCCATCACTGTCCTGAAATCTATTGAATTTCTTTTCAATCCGTTTTACAGGTGAGTTGGACAGCCAAGTAGTCTTTAACATGTGTGCTGTAGATCACAGGGCCTGTTATTTATACAAGTCATGCGTTTGATCCCAGGGCCCATTTCCTGGAAAATTCTTAACCACATTCTTGTGCTTAGATTTTAAGTAGACTTTGCATTTAAAGATACATTCTTGCATACAAACTTTGTGATTTGATGATATATTTGGACTAAAAACATATTCAAAGTAACCAATCTATCAAAAATTTGCTTTAATTCCCTCTCAAAACTTTGTATTCGCCGGGGATACCTATAGCTGTAAGTAAGCTGTTGTTAGACGCAATGTCTGTCAACTTAGCTTCATTGTCAGAGGGTCCATTTTTCAGAATGTATTTATCATTACTTACTGTACATTTAACATACATTGAGGCCTAAGTAAATTCTTAATTATTTCTGTCAACTTCTTTTTCCGTCGTCTTTTGTACTTTGACACCCCTCTACTGCCTAACCATTTGATCAAGAAATAACAACCGCTCCTTCACTTAAGCTGACACACAATAAGCTGGCAGATAACAGTCGAGTTGCCAGTTATTGATACCCTGACAATTCTGCTCAGTGCTTGCCCCATGGGCGTTTTTCGGGTAATCCGTTTTTCTAGTAAGATTGGGTGTCTATATATTTTCCATATATACCAAATTGACATATTTTTATTGGAAATAACCACCTGATAAATACTTTTCTGGGAAAGTATCTTTAAGTAAACTTATCTTACTTTGTGTTCCCAGAAAATTCTTAAGAACATACTTGTGCTTAGATTTTAAGTAGACTTCAGTGTAAGCACAAGCATGTTATTATGTGTTCCAAGAAAAAACTTAAGCACAACTTCGTTCTTAAACATTATCAATCTAAGCATAAGTTCCAAGCAAGGTATACAGCTTGCTTACCTACCTTAAGCCTGTTTATGCTTTCAAACAAGATGGCTGACCGTAGAGTTATTCGACGGCATTTCCTACATCTTTTGATACCATAGAGACAGAGAAAATCCTTTAGAAACATATTCTCGAGAAGAATGCCATAGAAAATTTCGATTCAACCCTGAAACCATTTTATTTATTTATTTACCAATTAGTAAACAACACAAACACATGGGCTACTTTAAGATCAGACGCTCTCACCATTATTCAAGGACAATATTGGTGCCAGTCATTATCACATATGTGATAGACTGGTTAAACACGTTCCAAATATTCTTTTATAACAGAGATCATTGCTACGATAGATGCGTAATCACAATCGGAAGTGACGAACGCAAAAGGAAAACACAAGTTATCCCTCTATATAACTGACTGAAGTGACGGGTGATAACAGATACATGGGCGAATTTCTGCTCACTGATAATTCCTTCGAAGACCAAAAGTTGTTGTATAAGACTGTGAAAGGATATCTGACAATTCATAAAAAAATTGACTGTCACTATATAAGAGAACATGAAAGAAAAATAGAAAAGTCCGTGCATTTCCATGTTTTTATAAGTATAGAATGAATAAACAGACGTGAATGTACGGACTGTTTCTATTTTTCTCGTGTTCTCTTATCTAATGACATTCAATTACTTTTTTGAATTGTCAGATATACTCTTACAGTCTCATATAACAAATTTTGGTCTTCAAAGGAATTATTAGTGAGCAGAAATTCGCCCATGTATCGGTTATCACTCGTCACTTCAGTCAGTTATATAGAGGGATTACTCGTGTTTTCCTTTTGCGTTCGTCACTTCCGATTGTTGAAGCATTCATTATGCATCTATCGTAGCAATTATCTCTGTGATAAAATAATATTTGGAACGTGTTTAACCAGTTCTATTACATATGTGATAATGACTGGCACCAATATTGTCCTTTCAGTCTGTTTGCATGTGCTTGCATTTTTATACGCCCACATTTTCATGTGGACGTATTATGCCGTCGCCCCTGTCCGTCCGGACGTCCGTCCGTCCATCTACAATTGTTTGTAGACTCTCTACAGGTCACAATTCTTATCCGATTTCGACGAAACTTGAAATATAGGTTTATCCCCAAAAGATCTCGGCTGCTTTCGATATTGGCATGTATCGGATCGAAACTTCATGGATTATGGCCCCTGTTTCTACGAAAAATCACGTTTTTAGCTTGTGGACCCTATAGAGGTCATAATTTTTATCCGATTTAAAAAAACGTATTATTATATCACCGTTACACCCTAAGGACGACTGAGTTTGAATATCATGAAAATCGGCCCAAAATTGACAGACAAAATGGTCGCCGTTCATTCTCAAATAGCGTAAAAATATGGTATATCAAGGTTGTGGGCCCTATAGAGGTAACAATTTTTATCCGATTTTGTTGAAACTTGAAATATAAGTTTATAACCCAAAGATCTCGGTTCCTTTCAATATTTGCCCACCCATATCGCACCGTAACTTCCTGAATTATGGCCCCTGATTGTACGAAAAATCATGTTTTTAGCTTGTGGACCCATTAGAGGTCATAATTTTTATCCGATTTAAAAAACCGTATTATTATATTACCGTTCCACCCTAAGGACAGTTGAGTTTGAATTTTGTGAAAATCACCCAAAAATTGACAGACAAAATGGCCGCCGTTCGTTCTCAAATAGCGTAAAAATGTGGTATATCAAGGTTGTGGACCCTATAGAGGTCACAATTTTTATCCGATTTTGTTGAAACTTGAAATGTAAGTTTATAACACAAAGATCTCAGTTCCTTTCGATATATGCGCATATCGAATTGTAATTTCCTGAATTATGGCCCTTGATTGTAGGAAAAATCACTTTCTTGTTAGCTTGTTCTCTATCCATCTCTCGAAAATGTGGGCGTATCCTGCCTGGCAGCCGCTGTTTTTTTCAGCTTGTGGCACATTTTATATGTGTTTAGGGGTCAAATGCATCTAAATCTACCATTTGCTGGGAATCAGACCACCAATTTATGACGTAATTCACATACCAAAATTATTTTTATGACGTTACAGAGTATCATAGTCTCAGTTTACCAGTCACAATGTGCTTAGACTCATACATTTGTACTTGACTTGTGCTTACGTAGGTACGGTCGTGAGAATTTTCTAGAGACAGTATTTTATCAAGTTTCTTACGTAAGAAAAAGTGAAGCACGACTTTGTGCTTACTTTAAGAATTTTCTAGGAACCAGGCCCCGGTTTGTGTGTGATAAGGAATATGGTTGCCTGCTAACCTCATGTATTTTTACCAGGTACTCTATGATCTGGGAAGTTCACATAGCCAACAATATGTTATATTTCATGCACTGAAAACATTTTAAAACTGTTTTTGGATTTTTTTCCACAGGGACCTGATTTATTGGACATTAGCTCTGAGTTAATTTATTCTGGTGAACTTCACAAAATCAATTCTAGTGGCTGGTCTCAAGAACGTTATTTCTTTCTATTTGATCATCAAGTTGTTTACTGTAAAAAGGTTTGTATAACTTTATTGTCCCCCTCCTATCGAAGAAAGCAGGAGAGTATTAAAATGGGTTCGTCTGTCTGCCTGCCTGTCTGTCTGTCTGATTGATTGATGCTTTGGGACACGATAACTTTAGTTCTAATCAGGGTTCTTAATCCATTTTGAAATGAATCGGCCAGAATTGGGTCAAATGAGCTCCCGGTAGGAAATGGGTTAATTATAAGCTTCCATTCCCTTTAATATAACGAGACTTCCACAAAACTAATTCTTGGTAATTTGTTATGGAGAATGTCGTTTCTTGATATATACTATTCAAAAAAAGTAGGGGATATTTGATTTTTAAGTGTTATTAAAGTCACCTAATGAAACTGACGAAGAAACAAATGACAAAATGAAATGAAGTTCACATTCATCGATTTATTCCAAATGATCGTTAGACTAAGTAAGGCACAGACTGACCATTATAAGGGTAAAATGATACCCGGGGTCAAACAGCAAAGTTACCACAGCATCACAACCAAGTCAGTAACGGGTAAATCCTCCTCTGTTTGCCAAACAAGCATTGATCCGACGTGGCATACTCCTAATGAGACGTCTAAGGTCATTTTGGTCCAGATTGTCCCATTCCTGTTGCAACGCAGCAGCAAGTTCTTGGCCATTGGCAGGACGTTGTTGACGTTGACGTAACCTCTGTCCAAGCATGTCCCAGACATGCTCAATGGGGGAGAGGTCGGGACTCAGTGCTGGCCAAGGTAATGTGGTGATGTTCGGTTGTTGGAGGTAACATGTAACGATCCTGGCCCTGTGACATCTTGCGTTGTCATCCTGGAAGATGAAACGGCGGCCATGACATCGTGCGAACGGCACAACATGGACTGCCAAGATGTTGTCCCGGTAGTACTGGCCTGTAACACGCCCTGCAACAACATGTAAAGCCGTTCTTCCAGCAACAGTGATGCCTCCCCACACCATAACAGAACCACCCCCAAATCGATTATGTCTGATGACGTTAACGTCTTGGAAGCGCTCGTTTTGACGACGCCACACCCTCCTACGTCCGTCCAAAAAATCAACAGTGAACCTTGACTTATCTGAAAACATCACATTGCTCCAGCGTCGATTATCCCAGTGTTTACGATCCCTACACCAACGACGTCTTGCCTGAATGTGATGATCTCTCAAACAAGGGATCACGCGAGGACGTCGGGCGCGATGGTGACCCCTATGCAGTCGATTCCGAATCATCTGGCCACTCACTCTCACACCAGTTTCTGTTTGAAGACGAGTGCTGATCTGATTTGCTGTGATGACACGATTTCTCAAGGCCAAGGAATGGATAAATCGATCCTGGGCTTGAGTTGTCGCCCTTGGTCGACCTGAGCGTGGTCTGTCCTGTACAGATTGTGTATCACGGTATCTGGACCATAGCCTGCTTATGACAGACTGAGAAACATTCATCGTCCGCGCCACAACCGCCTGTGTTGTGACGATCTGTAGCATGCCAAGGGCACGTAACCTTTCATTTTGTGTAAGCCGACGCATATCAAAATTTGTTTTCTGGTCACTAAAACAATTAAACTGATGTTTCCACCCTGGAATTCAATGCCACAATGACTGTAACATTCAAAGTCAGAGTCGTGCAAATCTTGGGTTGGACCCCCATGATGATCCCAAGCATCACCTGCATTCCATGCGGTAGCTATTGGTGCGTTTGGGCGTCACATGTAACTGGAAATGTTTCTTCTGTTAGGTTCTATAGTGACTTTTTTCGTAGTCATTTGCATATTTTAGTATTATGCCCCCAAAATCAAATATCCCCTACTTTTTTTGAATAGTATACATGTATGTGATTACCACAAAAATATCGGCAATTGGGTACACCTTTTGAAAATTTTCCATATTTAATTCACGTACAAGCTTTCAAGTTCACGTCAGTAATACTGAATAAATTACTATCTTCGTTTATTCGATGAAACGTTCGTGTTTCATTAGTCGATGATCATAAATATTACCATTTTTCTACTATTCCCAGTATCAGAAAATGCTGCAGCTAAAATAAACTGATACGGCACCATGGCATTTCTTCATAACACAATTTGTAGTTTTTTGTCTATCACGTAACTAGTCACGTAAACTTGCAAAAGTTTTTATTCATTCGTCAATGATAGACAAATGGCACAATTGCCACGTGACAACCATAATTGAAATTGCTTTAAAATAAAATTCTGTACAATTATGATATAGCCTTCAATAAAAACGACAATATTTTTAAAATTAAGCCTTTGTCAGAATGTGTATATAATAAACAAAATCATAACAGTTTATTGACCTAATCCCAAGCGATATGTCACGTGTCATTTGAATTTCTCTGTGTATTTGGTGTTCTATCAGGGGATTATACTCAATGAAGATATAAATTTACCGAACAACTGGTCAGTGAATCTATCAATGTATTATCCAGTTATTATTTTAATATCTACCTGTACCTGGTATTCATACAGAGCGTGGAAGATGCTCGATTGACAAACCATGCCGAGATCGTCTTCTTTCGCAACATGGGCTATTTTTACAAAAGCAGCTTACTGAACCTGTTATGAATAGGCTACTCAGATTATGAACCACGTGGCCGATTTTTCACTAAAATATGGCTGTTGTTGTAGCCCACAAGCAAGTTGATTGACTTCTTAATTAACATGTAATAATTAACCCGATGTAATTTAGCCGATAGTAATAATAATAAGAAGAATAACAGTCTATTTATATTGCGCAAATATCCATGCATGAGCATGCTCAAAGCACAGTCCAAAAATGATCACAATTGTCATAAAGTGAATGCTTTCTTAAACAAAAAGGTTTTAAGTCTGGATCTAAACACAGCAATATCTGGAGAGTTCTTTATTTCCAGTGGCAGATCATTCCACTCTGTTAGGGCTGAGTAGGAAAAAGTCCTTTGACCAAAACGGGCTGTTTTAGGCTTAGGCACTACAAGGAGTTTCTTATCTACTGATCTTAAGGTCCTTACAGGAGTATAGGATTGTAAGAGATCACTCAGGTATTTTGGGGCAGTACCATTTAAACATCGAAATGTATAACAGAGAATTTTAAATTAGATTCTGTAACTAACAGAAAGAAAATGAAGTTCTTTGAGAATTGGTGTTATGTGACTGTAACGAGGAGCAAGAGATATTATTCTAGCTGCTGTGTTCTGGATCTTTTGGAGTCGCCAAACAAGAGAAGTAGGAGCACCAGCCAGTAAACTATTGTTGTAATTTATTCTGGAAAGAATCAACGAGGACACCAGTATCTTAGTAGAATCAGCATTAAGATATTTCCTGATACACCCAATGTTCCGTAGAATGAGATAGCACACTTTAGATATATGGTTGATGTGGTTTTCCATATTGAGATTGCTATCAAATATCACTCCAAGATTTCTTATACTATTTGAAATTGGAATAGAGAGGTTGCCAACATGGACATTGGTTGTACCGCAAAGATCACGTCTAGATTCAGGACCAAGAAGTAATGCTTCAGTTTTAGTTTAAGAAACACCATTTAGTTTTGACATCGGTCATCTAGTTTATGACCATTTAGTTTAGATTCGATATTGGTCATCCAGTTTATGACCATTTAGTTTCATAAACTAGACAACCGATGTCAAACTAAACGGTAGCACAAACTGGGCGTTTTTTGATGAATCTTGATGGTATTTAACACTTTCTGCATGGTAATCTATTAACTGAATATGTGTATTAGATTATAGATGGTAAGCTCAGTTTCTTTCCTTTTTTCATCAAATCTGAATGATACCCGGTCCCTAGTGATACCAGTACGTATATCATTGGACACACAAAGAAGAGCAGATTCTGTTGAATGGAATGGCCGATAAGCAGACTGATATGGCTCGAAAAGATTATGTAGTGACAGATGTTCTGAAAGACAAAGACAAACTGCACGTTCTATAACTTTGGAAATAAATGGAAGGTTTGATACTGGGCGGTAGTTTTTTAATTCCTCAGAATTAAGACCTGGTTTCTTCAGCAAGGGTTTAACAAGAGCTGTTTTGAATATTGTTGGCATTAGGTCGAGATGATCAAAAATCAGTGTTGTTGGGACAGGATCAAGCTTACAGGTTGTTGGTTTTGCCCTTTTTAGAATAGGCAATGCCTCAGTAAGAGTTTCAAACTCAAATAAGGGGGGAGGGAGTACTTGATGATACAAACTCAATGTCGTCAAATTGTCTTTGGATGCTATGTATCTTCTCTGTAAAGTGATTTGAGAAAGCCTCTTTTATTTCTTGATATCCATCAAGATCAGGAAAAAGTATGTCTCTGTCTGTCTTACCCATAAGTTGAAACATTAATTTATAGAGAGCATTGGAGTCTTTCAATGATTCACCTATCTTGGTATTCATGTAGCTCTGTTTAGCTGTTCTGATTTCCTTGACAACAAGGGTTCGAGCGTCTGCATATGCTTGATGATGAACCTCCAGAGAGGATTTTCCCCATCTTCGTTCAGCTTGACACCTTTCAGATTTAAGCAATCGCCCATCATCAGTATACACCCATGGCGAATCAGGTCTGAACGGAATCTTCTTGGTTATTGTTGGAGCATACTTATCGAGAAAGTGGTCCGAGATTTGTAGATCTGACACAGTGACATCTTCCACAGTACTGTCAGCAACATTTTAAACCACCCAATCCAGAATATGACCTTTCATGTGGGTTGGAGAACTAACATGTTGAATAAGATTGTTTGTGAGTAATTGAGTCTGTAACTTGGCTGTGTCAGGGTTATTTTGAACATCAAAATGAAAATTGAAATCACCAAGTATAATTGGTCTGGCTTTTGAAGAAAGAACATATTCAAGTAAATTGGAAAATTCATCATGAAACATTGCCTTCTTCAATTGATTTTTCTTTGATATTGGAGGCCGATATACGACAAATATTCTTGTTGCAGTTTGTGCACATGTCAGTAAACATTCTAAATATTCAAATGATTTAACTTCTTTGAGTTTTGGAGAATAGAATTTCAGTGAAAGATGTTCTCGATAAATTACGGCTATGCCATCGCCTCTAGACACACGGGGTTTATGTTCAAATTTGTAACCATTCGGTGTCATTGTAGCAATTTTTGATTCATCACCTTGTGGTTTGAGCCAGGTTTCAGTCAAGACAAGCCAAATGACAGGGTTATGAGAGCATTTTCGGCTCAGGGTAAGCAAAACGATAAGCAATTTCGTTGGTCCAGACTTTGGAGCTCGACAACTTTGATTCTAATTGAGTAATAGTGGTGAAACTTTGTGTATAGTTTTATGACATCAATCCCCTAACAAGGTTTGATGCTGAGCATTTTCTGCTTAGGCAAAGTAGAGTCTTCAATCTGATTGGTCGAGACTTTGGAACACAATAACTCTCATTAATGGAAACAGGAAAAGGGTACGGCAACACTCCCTTAGAGAGTATTTAAAGCTGGACAGGCTGATACATCTGCGTGGAGACTGGATCAAAAGATGATACCGGCGGGGCGGAGTAGTAAAATAAAATTAAAGAATCCCCGCTCAACAGAATACACAACAGACTTGTAGAAGTAGAAGATTGTTTAATGGGTCGACGTTTCGGGTGCAATACCCGTTATTAAGATTAAATTATGATGATCCTGTGACGCCTTATATACAATAATGGTGATGACGTCACAGGATTTTTAAATTTATTTATGTACAGTATAAAGATTGTTAAAAAAAGAAAGAAAGGATCGTTAAATTTAATTGAAGTATAAGATTACATGTATGTACAAATTTGATTAAATTGCTAAAAAAGGATTAGAAAAAATTGTTTAAAATGATAAAAAAGAAGAGTTAATTACTAAGAATGTTTAAAGATTGATGATAATTATGGAGCGATTTAAAGTGAATAGTAGATAATGGTCTCCAGGATGGCTGATGCGGTGGTTGTTTCATCTTCTTCTGTATTGATGGGATAAGTTGATACGTATAGTCTCGGTCATCCGGAACCTCCTAGTCTTCAAACGTGCAGAGGAGGAATAAAAGACTAGAATACGTAAGGAGTTTGCTACGATTGGATTGAAGGTTGCGTGGTTAGCGAGTATAGAGTTAAAAAGAGTAATTACGTAGCTTGGTGGTTCAATTATTTTGGATCGTGAAATCAGTGATAATGATGAGTGGTGGATAGTATTCAGGTTAAATAGAAGGGTTGTTGGTCACCTCTATGAAATATAGTTTCTGTGGTTAGAGGGCCACGGGAGAAGGATATACTAAGTAAAGATAAGGTAGTTGAGGCTTAACGGCAAGGTTGTACGAAAAACAGTTTATCTAGAATCTAGCGTATAAAATGAATGCTGTAGAATTAGGGTGTCGATTAGGTTTAAGTAGATATTCCTCATTCTGGTACGTATTGGTGATATTTATTCTTCTTAGGGAGGAAAATAGATTTTCTAAATAAAATCCAAGTGTGTGTTGATTTATCTTCCTTCCAATAATTGGCGAGGATTCTAGTTACTACTTTTCAGAATTCTTGATGTGAGGGAAAAGTCGGAGTAAATTTATTCTGGCTTAATCCTTTAGGTGATAAGCGATGCATAGATCTAGAAAGTAGATGTGTTGTTGGCATATAAAGAGACCAGTGCGAATCTTGTGGTAAGTTTAAAATACGGGATAGCGTTTACTGGAAGACGCTTGTTGTTGAAGTGCAGAGATAAATATATCTGGTTCATCAGCAGTTTTTCTCTTTTTGTTGAGGTTGTCCATTGGCAATTCTAATTAAGAGGAAGATTCGCACTGGTCTCTTTATATGCCAACAACACATCTACTTTCTAGATCTATGCATCGCTTATCACCTAAACTTATCCCATCAATACAGAAGAAGATGAAACAACCACCGCATCAGCCATCCTGGAGACCATTATCTACTATTCACTTTAAATCGCTCCATAATTATCATCAATCTTTAAACATTCTTAGTAATTAACTCTTCTTTTTTATCATTTTAAACAATTTTTTCTAATCCTTTTTTAGCAATTTAATCAAATTTGTACATACATGTAATCTTATACTTCAATTAAATTTAACGATCCTTTCTTTCTTTTTTTAACAATCTTTATACTGTACATAAATAAATTTAAAAATCCTGTGACGTCATCACCATTATTGTATATAAGGCGTCACAGGATCATCATAATTTAATCTTGGTAAAGGGTATTGCACCCGAAACGTCGACCCATTAAAGAATCTTCTACTTCTACAAGTCTGTTGTGTATTCTGTTGAGCGGGGATTCTTTAATTTTATTTTAACTCTCATTAATGTTCAAAATTGGTGTAGGTGTCTATTAGGTGAATGCTTTGATGTAATAGTTCATTCATGCGCATTTTCCACTAAGGCTAAGCAGAGATGATCAATTTGATTGGTTGAGACTTTGGAACATAAAAAATTCTGCTTTTAATTGAGGTATACATGTAGATTTTCATTAGGCGAATGTCTTGACTGAGTTCAATGATTAATATTCCCAATATAGCTAAGCAGAGCTGAGCAATTTCTTAGGACAAGATAACTTTGATTCTAACTGATGGAAAGTGATGAAACTTAGTGTACAGTTTCACTCCCTACCAGGTACTTCAAAATCTGAGTTTGATAGTGAACATTTTATGCTTAGACTAAGCATAGATAATCAGTTTAATTACTCGATACTTTTGATAAAGATAAATATGCAATTAATTAATATGTGTCATCTGTTTTTTGGGGGGCTGGTAAGGGGTGAGAATCTACAATCTCAGATTTCCTGGATTTCAAATGTTTTCAAGTGCATGTGGACCCGAGAGCACACATGTTTCATGAAACAATGGCTTTAGGATTTAAAATTAATGTTATTTTCATATTCCATGTTTGAATGATATTTATTTATTTGATATCTGTCTTCATTAGCCCTGGGGGGTTGGATGGCTGAATGGTTAGCGTGTGTGCGCTGTATCATAAAGTCTGTCATTGAGTCGACTGGCGTGGTTTCGAATCCCCGGTTGTACGTGGCAAGGAGTAGGGTCGCCTGTCCAACCATGTGGGTTTTCTCCGGGGCCTCCGGTTTCCTCCCACTGCTAAAGACCCCTACGCGCAGGCGAATTATGTAAATAAAATTAAACCATGTGTTAGTCCCGAAATGACCTAGTTTGTGTCGAGTGGACGTTAAACCCCATTTCTCTCTCTCTCTCATTAGCCCTACTGGTGTAGAACAGTAGGATGTTAAACCTCATTTCATTATATTTTATATATTAGTGATCTGTATGTATATATTTCACAGGACATATTGAAGAAGAATAGTTTCTGTTATAAAGGTAGAATTAATTTAGATCAATGTGAAGTAATACCACAGGAAGATGGAAAAGGTCAGTTTAAATTGTTTTTATACGCCCACTATGAAATGAAAAAAATAATTTTGTCCAATTCTGCTGAACATTATATGGTGGCGAGGGGGGTATTGTACCGGTCATGGAGCGATGATGATCATGTTGTATGTGGCCGGTGGCTTTAACGGGCGCCATCCCATCACCAGAGTCTGGAATGGGCTGGTATAATAGACTTTCTGGGCCGGGTGTGCTGGGTGTGGGCCATTGCAGGATTCCGAATTTCATCAGGAAATTTCATCGGATTCACCTGACACTGTCGTGGTAGCTATATTTTGCGTCCAAGATCAAGTTTTATTTTTATTTTTATTTCCGCCCGCCGCTTCTGACAAAAATGTCGTGGGTAACGCAATTCTCATAATTAAGTTTGTGTGGCCTTATACTCGAATATTCATTATCTGAACTAATGCTATGTTCGATTAATCAATGTGTAGTGTGTCAAAAGTTCATGTTCGGAGTCATGGTAAAATAATTTACCTGGGACAACAAATCCAAAAATCAAAAAGCAGCTTTCATGAATATCTCATTCGTCACTCTGTCCAATGTGTCTCGTGGCCTTCCATCACAGAAGGAATCAGCTTGCGCTCCCGGCAACAAAAATGAGACATTTTTCAATGAAAATATTCCTACTTATTCAATATTCCTAACTGGTAAATCAAATGGTCAAAATATTCCTACTAATTCAATATTCCTAACTGGTTAATCAAATGGTCAAAATTTTCTCAACTAGTCCCATTTTTATACACCCACATTTAAATGTGGTCATATATTGTCGTCGCCCCCGTCAGTCCCTCCGTCGGTCCGTCGTCCACAATTGCTTGTGGACGCTCTAGAGGCTAAAGTTAAAATCCGATTGACTTTAAATTTATACACAGTGTTTAAGGTCATGAGACGAAGAAGCCTATTGATTTTCAGCGATTTCCAATAATTACTGCCAGAGTTATGGCCCTTGATCACTTTAAAAAATCTTGTGGATGCTCTAGAGGCCAAAATTAATATCCGATTGACTTTAAATTCATACACAGTGTTTAATATCATTGATTTAATCTATTGATTTTTAGCAATTTCCGATAATTACTGCCAGAGTTATGGCCCTTGATCACTTTGCAAAATCTTGTGACGCTCTAAAGGCTAAAGTTATCATCTGATTGACTTCAGATTGATACACAGAGTTTAAGATCTTGAGACGAACAAGTATATTGAATTTCAATGAATTTTTATGACTTGGAACAGCTAAATCCATGATATCAAAAGTTTTGTATACAAAACGTTAGCATGGGGCAGAACTTTATAAAAACCAAACAAATTCTGATGGTTTTCTGAGTTGTTGCTCTTAATCAGATTTTAGTGTATTATAAATGTTTCATTACCGAAAAAAGTAAAAATATGTGACAACTCTTGTTGACTGCCCGGACGATTAAGCTGCTGTGGGCGTATTTTTTGTTGCCTGTCAACCTATCTTTTAACCAGTTAAATTCTCTTGACTCTTGACGATACAATGATAATACGTTAATTAATAATATGACGATATAATAATTTCACAGGTTGATGGTTGTAAATTACTTGCAGGTCGGGGATTTTACCTAAATTAATCGATTTATGAGATATATTATTTGACAAAGGTTATAATCAGATATGCCACCAAATCGCATATTTGGGGTTCATTTTTCAAAATTTTCTTGGGGGAGAGCTAGCTCCCGGGACCCCCCGTCCGTGGTCAGTAAAAGGGGCCGGTCCGACACAGGAGCCCGGGCCGGTTCCCAGTCCCAATCCGCCCCTGATGGCCATAGTTATCATCAGATTGATTTTATATTTATACACCGTGTTTACGCCTATATATAATCGTTTCGATTGACCTTGGCTTGATACACAGAGTTTAAGGTCTTGAAACAAACAAGTATATTGATTTTGAATGGTTTTAGATATTAAATGTTTTGTATACTAAACATTAGCATGGGCCAAACAAATTCTAATGATTTTCTGATAATTACTTAATGAGTTGTTACTCTAAAATCCGATTTTAGTGTATTATAAATGTTTCATTACCGACAAAAGTAAAAATATGTGACCTATTTTTATATGACTAGTGGATTACTACAGTACATGAAATCTCAATTTGTTTTTTTTACGTCCACATTGAAATGTGGTCGTATATTGTCATCGCCCCTGGACGATTTAGCTGCTGTGGGCATATGTTTCGTTGCCTGGCAACCTATCTTTTGAAATATTTACCGAGTTGTAAAGATTTAAAACCTGACTTAAATGCATACATTTATCTCCCTTTTTAGATACTCAATATAATGTAACTGTACGGCATGCATGGAAACTTCACGATACTGGAAGAGACAAGTGGTACCTTCTAGTAGCCAAATCAGATCATGTTAAACAACGCTGGTTGAAGGCTTTTGAAGACGAACGACAAAGGGTGAAAGATGACCAAGAAAATAGTATGTTAAAATTTTAGGATTTTTGTTTTTCAGGAATAAAAAGATTTATGTTCTGACACAGCTTGGTGTTTTCTGGCAGTGCTCCTGAATATGGCTGCTCTGACAAAGTGATCCTATACATGGCTGCTCTGTCGGAGGGCTGCTCAATATGGCTGGCAATATCATCTTCCATGATGTGATTTTTCACATGTGGCAAGGCTACTTGTTGTTGGTCAAGTTTGCCGAATTTGTTAATTCAACTGAGTTTTATACACCCACATTAGACCTGTACATGCCCCCTGACTTTTATGTGAAATATGTACAAAGTTTGTGAACCCTCCAGAGCATACAATTTGTGTCAGATTTAGATGAAACTTAACATATATGTTAAAGATCAAAAGATCTCAGATGGAATTAACTTTGGTGTGCATCGGACCTTCTGTTCCAACATATGGTGACTTATTCCAGACAGGCTAAATCATATCACACAAAATATTTATATGCATAAATAAAAACAATATCACAGTAAATCCAATTTAAAAATAAAAACAATCTGTTATGTATATAAACATTTAAAATAGAAATATTAAATTTATATATATACAAATTAAAATTTATAATAAAATCCTGTCTCTTTTTTAAAAATTTAGCATTTCACAAAAATACCCAAGTTGGGCAAACAAGTAATGAAGTTACTGGCAACGGTAATAGCGTGATCTTGCATGCTTGAGGTGATTGCACTCAATCAAAATGTGTTTAACTGTCAAAGGAACATGACAGTGAACACATTCTGGTTGAGGCTCTCGCTTCAAGATGAAAATGTGAATTAAAAAGGTATGACCTATGCGAGAGTGACACAAAACAACTTTGACCCTCCTGTTTGACCTATAGGAGGCTTAATGTGGTTTGTGCCTGCAAGATCCCAAGACCTTTGCCAGCAGCCATAAATAAAATTATTGATACAGTATTCAAAATCTATGTATGGCGTTAAAAAGTTTTTTGATAAGGGAAGATCTAAATCTGCTTGATTATTCCATTTGATATCCAAAGAATCAGTAAAGATGAGATATGTCAATATTAATAATGACTGAATGACTATTGTATTATTAGGGTTTCACACTGCGTAGCTTGTGTGAAACACTATTGTTTTTGTTAAAATTATTATTCTTATTATTATTATTATTCTTCTTTTGTTTTGAGTAGATCTCAGCAACTGATTGTCGGATCGTTACGATTTCTTCGGTTTTATCGGAAAAGTGGGTGTGACTTAGAGGATAAAGCTATTTTGAACGTTCTGCGACAATGCGAAATGTCCGAAATCACCGAAGCTATCGTTTTTAGAAATATTGCAGTAATTTTAACAATAATCATTGGATTTTAACTTTCGATGCATTTTGGCATAGCCGGAGACGGGGCACATAGCTACGCTACTTTTGATTTTTGATTTTCGGCAAATCTTCGCAGATATTAGGCGCTAAATTTAGAAAATTTAAATTTTTACAAAAAACTTTTTTATTTATGAATATTTTTTAATCGTGTTTTACACAAATATAACGAGTCCTCTGACTTGGGCAAAAATGTGAAAAATTTTTGTCTCGGTAATTTTCCTTGGCCCCCATTGGCTAATTCAGTTTTTCAGTCCTAGATTAATTATTTATTGTTCGATTTGTATAAAACAAAGTTCATATGCCCCGTTGTCTCAATTGTCATTTTTTTTGTTACCAATAGTGTTATCTGTCGGCACCGGAAGTGGCGTAAATTGACAAAAAACTACAATTTTGACAGTTAGGTACCATTTTTCGAAAGCAAATATTATTTTTTTCAAATCTGGTATAACTGAAATTGTGCGCCCTTTAAAGGCGCACAAAATGTTGGGACCATTTTTTTTAATTTCGATTCCGTTTTCGGGCTATTTCGATTAAAAGGTGAAAAAAGGTGTAAAATTAAGCTATTTACAACCCATCCAGCGTTTTCATATTTTAAAATATTACTTCGTAACTTTCATAAACTCGTAGCAATAATCTATACGGAGAGAATATATGTGAAAATTAATTTGTAATATGCGCAGTTGCCGAGAAATGGGCAATTTTGCATGAGTCACTTTTTACGCTAGTTTGCCTGTAAAAGAGTCAATTATTATTCGATTTTCATAAAAGTGACACCATTTGATGTGTAATGTCAATTTTAACTAGGTCAAACCAATTTAACATTTTCAATATCACCGGAAATGACGTAATTTGGGCAAAAATTGTATTTATAGCCTTCGAAACCAGTAATTTATTCAAATGAGTCATATTTGTTATTTGTTTAAAATTTTGATATTTGATTCAAATCAACTAATACAATGAACCCTTACGATCATATAGATATCACAAAATGGTTTCTAACTTGTTCAGTTGCGGAGAAATAGGCAATTTTCAACAGGTCACTTTTTAAGGTTTTTTTGTCAATAAAAGTGTCAATTATTATTCGATTTTCATGAAATTTTCACTGTGTGATACATAATGCCATTTACGATATCATACAAGTAATTTAAGATTTTCATTATCACCGGAAGTAACGTCATTTTGGCAAAAACTGTATTTTTAGCCTTCAAAACAGATATTTTATTCAAATGAATCAGATTTGTAATGTTTTTAAAATTATGATATTTGATTCCAATCAACAAATAGAATGAACTCATTCGATCATACAGATACCTCAAAATGGTTTCTAACTTGTACGGTTGCAGAGAAATAGGCGATTTTCTACAAGTCATTTTTCAAGGTTTTTGGTCTATAAAGGTGGCAATTATTATAGGATTTACATAAAATTTTCAACATGTGATGATGCTATTTCTGATTTCATAAACCAATTTAACATTTTCATTATCACCGGAAGTAATGTAATTTTGACAGGATCACTGACATGTAGCAAATGAATTGATTGCTGGATTTGGTTGTTTCTGCGTCCATTTTATTTCATGTGTGCAATGCTTATGTGGAAACCTGTTTAACGGTTTCATTGGTACCGGAAGTGACATAAGTTCAAGGGTAACGTGGCACCGGTGAAACCCGTCATTACTGCTTCGCAGTTCTAGTTTATTGTTTATTATTTCAGATTTTAACATACCTGCTCATATACGAGAGAAAGCCATCCACAATGTTAAACAAAAAACAAACTTACAGGGATCAAAAGGTAGGCATAAAATGATCCTTACAAGAATTGTTTTCGTTCATATATAAATCTTTTGATTTTTATACTCCCAAATTTTCATTTCTTCATGCAGGTGCAAATCAAGAAATATAGGCATGACTCAAGACTTACAAATGTGTACATCCGCTGTGAACTATAATAACAAACATTTAGGATTAAATTATCTATCCTGAGTGTTTATAAAACAAAAAATAAATTCAACAAATTACATGTGTTGGATTTAGAAAAAATATATTCTGCTATGAAATTAAAATTGACATCTTTTTTCAGGATTTTTATTGTGGTTGTCACGGCGATAAAAGTTTTAAGGTACTTTGTGTGTTGTTATGGCAACCCTGAACCTTACATAAAGTGTATTGAATTCCTTATTTGATGCTTTTTTAATACAATTTAGATTTGTTTGTTTTTTCTTTTGTTTATTTTTACCAACTGATCCTAATTTTTGTCCCCCACCTTTCGAAGAAAGCAGGGGACTATTAAAATGGGTTCGTCTGTCTGTCCATCCGTCCGTCGCACTTTTTGGGACACAATAACTCTCCTTCTAATTGACCTGGAATGTTCAAACTTGGTGTCGGTGTTTATTAGGTCAATGCCTTGATGGAGTTGAGCAATTTGATTGGTTGATGCTTTGGGACACGATAACTTTAGTTCTAATTAAGTGAGAGTGAAGAAACTTGGTGTATAGTTTCATTACATCAATACCTTGACTAAGATCGATAATGAGCATTTTCTGCTCAGGGTAAGCAGAGCGATAAGCAATTTGATTGGCCGAGACTTTGGAACACAATAACTCTCCTTCTAATTGAGCTAGAATATTTAAACTTGGTGTAGGTGTTTATGAGGTCAATGCCTTGATAGAGTGTGAAGATGAGCATTTTCTGCTTATGGTAAGTAGAGATAAGCAATTTGATTGGTTGATGCTTTGGGACATAAGTTTAGTTCTAATTAAGTGAGAGTGATGAAACTTGGTGCATAGTTTCATTACATCAATACCTTGACTAAGTTCAATGATGAGAATTGTCTTAGGCTAAGGAGCAATAAGCATTTTGATTGGTCAAGACTTTGGAACATAACAACTCTGCTTCTAATTGAGGTAGAATGTTTACCGGTAAACTTGATGTAGATGTTCGTCTTGACTGAGTTCAATGATTAACATATCGAGCTAAAGCTAAGCAGAGATAAGCAATTTCCTTTGTCGATGCTTTGGGACAAGATAACTTTGATTTTATCTGATAGAGAGTGATGAAACTTAGTGTATAGTTGATAATCAGTTTGATTGTTTGATACTTTTGAAAAAAATAGATGTGCGTTTAATTAATATTTGTCATCTATTTATTTGGGGATTTCGGCGGGGGACATCAGACTCACTGTTGGCTTTTTCTTTTTACATCAGAATTTTTAGTACTGCTTTCTAATTTACTCCCCTTTTTATACACCCACATTGAAATGTGGTCGTATATTGCTGTCAACCTCGTCTGTCCGTCTGCTTGTGGACGCTCTAGAGGCTAAAGTTAATTAATATCCGATTGACTTTACATTTATATGCAGACATAGAACCCCATTGATTTTCAACAATTTCCGATAATTAATTGTGGACGCTCTAGAAACCAAAGTTCATATCCGCTAGAATTTAGATTTATACGGGAGCAGGACAATTGCTGGTGAGGACATCTGCCGACAATATTATTTGTTTTTTATACGCTTGAACGCGTATATTGTGAACGCTTGAACACCAAAAGTTATCATCCAATTGTTTTCAAATTGATATAATGTTGTTTAAATTATTGAGATGAAGAAGCCTATTTAATTTCAATAATTTCCGTTTATTACGTCTAGAATTATGGCCCTTGTTTCACTTTGTTAAACCTTGTGAACGCTCTAATGCCAAAGGTTAACATCTGATCTTTGTGACATTTATATGCAATATTTAAGTTAGTGAAACGAAGAAGCCTATTGATTTTCAGCAATTTCCGTTTATTACGTCTAGAGTTATGGTCCTTGTTTCATTTTATTGAACCTTGTGAACGCTCTAACACCAAAAGTTATCACCCGATCTTTGTGAAATGAATATGCATGATTTAAATTAGTGAAATGAAGAAGTCTATTGAATTTCAGCAATTTCCATCAATTACTTCTTGAGTTATGGCCCTTGTTTCACTTTGTTGCACCATAGGAACGCTCAAACGCTCTGCCGATCTGTATGAAATTTACATGTGTCATTTAAATTAGTCAGAGAAGAATCCTATTGAATTTCAGCAATTTCCGGTTATTACTTCTAGAGTTATGGCCCTTGTTTCACTTTGGGATTGCTCTAACCTCTAAAGTTAACTGCCGATCTGTATGAAATTTATATGTGCCATTTAAGTTAGTAAAAAGAATCCTATTGAATTTCAGCAATTTCCGTTTATTATGTCTAGAATTATGGCTCTTTTCACTTTATTGAACCTTGTGAACGTTCCAACGCCAAAAGTTATCATTGGATCTTTGTGAAATTTATATGCATTATTTAAATTAGTGAAACCATGAAGCCTATTGAATTTCAGTTATCACCTAAATTAGTGGAAACGAAAAAGCCTATTGAATTTCAGCAATTTACAATAATTACTTCTAGAGTTATGGCCCTTGTTTCACTTTGTTAAACCATGTTAATGCTCGATTGATGAAAGTTATCATCCGACATGTATGTATGTATGTAATTTCTAGAGTTATGGCGATTTGTGAACCTTGTGAACGTTTGAATGACAAAGGTGATCATGTGATCTGTATGAAATTTATATGCATTATTTAAATTAATAAAACATAAAAGCCTGTCAAATTTCAACAATTTCTGTAGATTACTTCCTGAGTTGAGACCCTTGTTTCAGTTTGTAGAACCATGTAAACCCTCAAAGTACAAAATTTATAATCTGATCTGTATGGAACTGTCTTATAAAGGCCCCCAATCACCTACAAAGGAATAAATATGCGACAACCCTTGTCGACTGCTCGGACGATTTACCTGCTGTGGGCGTATGTTTATTTGCCTGGCAACCTATCTTCTGTATTTATGTTCTTTTTGTTAAAAATAACCAATACTTAATACTTAATTTAATATTCTTTTTTATCATACCGCACTAATTATTGACTTTCCAGACGACTTGGCTGCTGTGGCGTATGTTTCGTAGCCTGGCAACCTATTTTTCTTTTAATGAATGTGTCTAATCTTTGACCCTTTAAAAGTCATAACTTCATGTTATATTTAATGATCACTTTCCCCATCTTCCAAGTATATGAATTAGCTACAAGGAGAAAGAAAACATGAAATTGAGATACATCCTTGTATTTAAACCATTGTGGCAATGATTTTGCAGAAGAGTGGGGGGGGATATAAGAACTTCGGGAAATTTTCTGAAATATGAAATTTAAGAGGGTTTTATCCCCAGGCATGATATAAATAATAACAGTTACTTATTGCATAAAATTTATACAAATATTGTTGTAAAATAACAATAGAAAGTACTGACATGATGTAGACAGACAGTCATAATGGAATGTTTCATTTATTAGATTAGAATTTAAATGTAATTAAGTTATTTTAATTAATAGTTTGTGCAAGCATTGGTTTCTTCAAATTGTCATACCCTTTTTGATGTACATCTTATTAAAGACATCTTCATAAGTTTCAAGCAGTTAAATTAATTTAACAGTACCCTAGAATTTGTTAAAAATGTTAGGAGTTGAGAAATGTTTAATAATACATTGTTGTTGTGTAAAGTTTAACAAGTTTCTAATGACTGATGCCAGCTTCTCACCAACCAAAAGAAATATCAGGTCAATAAATTGTATGTATGTTTAAATGTTGTATCATAAGGTGTGTATATTTCTATGCCAGATGGAGATGGGTTAATTATTTTCAGACACCATCAAGGAAGTGAGTTATTATTGTCCTCTTTACTGTGTGTACATGTAGGAAACATGTTTTATGTTGGTGAATGGTTGTTATAGGCAATCGGTTTAGTAATAATTGTTCCTCAAGTTACCGATCTCAAGCAGGACATATTTGTAAGAGGTGTTTAAAAATTAAACTATGAGGTTAAATAAAGGTAAACTAAGTAGGCCTACCAAACACAGCTATTTGACATCATTGTCTCTGCATTTCCATTTTCAAATGACATGTGTGAAGCATAAATTTTAGGTAAAGAAAGTAGCAGAACACTCAAGAGTAAAACAGTTTAACATTGTGTACAAGACCCTTGTCAATCAACTAGATTTAAAAATGTGGGGGGAAAATGTGGAGTGTTGTAATATTTATATTTCACACTTCCCATTCCATATACATGTATATTATATATGTCTCAGTCATCATTGGTAATTTCACTTTTGGTCATGATAAACAGAACCAGATTAATAATTAAACAATAAAAATATAAAAGATACCATTCCCCTTCTAGGATAAAAAAATAAACTTGCACTGAGATATCGATTACAAACAACAGTCTGTGCTGGATTCAACTTAAAATACTGTTTCATCGATTAATCAAAAAAACTTTGGTATGATTTTACATAGTAAAGTTTTTTGTTAGTCTGGCAGGTCCAGTCAAGCAGTGATGTTACAGTTTGTATTTTAGTTAGTTCAAATTATTGGGCTTAGTTGGTGACCAATTATATTTGTATTTATGTTGTCCTTTCTTTGTTTACTTCTATTTATGATGGTTTGTAACTTCGGATTGTAACTTCCTGAATTATGGCCTCTGATTGTACACAAAATCGCGTTTTTAGCTTGTGGTCCCTCTAGAGGTTATTATTCGATTTAAAAAAAAACCTTTGAATATATCACCATTACTCCGTAATGTTTGTTGAGTTCGAATTTCGTGAAAATCAGGCCAAAACTGATGGACAAAATGGCCGCCCCTTGTATGCAAATAGTGTAAACATCTGGTAAATCAAGGTTGTGGACCCTCTAGAGGTCACAATTTTAATCTGATCTCGATGAATCTTGAAATACATGTTTATAACCCAAAGATATTGGTTCCTTTCGATATTCGCGCATATCAGATTATAACTTCCTGAATTATGGCCCTTGATTGAACAAAAAGTCACGTTTTTAGCTTGTGAGAATATATCACCATGACACACTAACGTCTTCGTTCCTTTTGATAATCGCGGATACCAGAACTTAACTTCCTGGATTATGGCCCCTGATTGTTCGAAAAATCGCATTTTCAGCTTGCGGATTCTCTAAAGGTCACAATTTTTTTCCGATTTTAAAAACCGTTTAAATACATCACTATTCCACCATAATGAAGGTTGAATTCGTATTTCGGGAAAATCGAAATGAAACTGCCCAACAAAATGGCCGCACTTTGTACGCAAATTGTTTAGAAGTGTGTAATACGAAGGTTGTGGACCTTCTTGAGGTCACAAGTTTGATCCGATTTTGATGAAACTTAAAATATATCTTTATATCCCAAAGATCTCTGTCCCTTTTGATATTTGCACATTTCAGGCCATAACTTTCTGGATTATTTCCCTTGATTGTACAAAAAATCACGTTTGTTTTTAGCTTGTTCTCTACCCATCTCTTGTAAAATGTGGGCGTATCCTGCCTGGCAGCCGCTGGTTCCATTCCAAGTAAGGATGAAAGAAGTATAGGACTTTTTTGTTAAACATGAATTCGGATCAAATTTGAGCCAAACAATTAATGTAAAATTATTTGTTAATATTAAAATGCCTTTCCCAATAATTCTCAATGTTTTTTATTTCAGGAAAAAGAAAAATGGCAACGAGAAGTGCCAGTTTTAAATCAGTTTCATCAAAAAGAGAATATGTTAGTGTATCTGCCATAGCAACATTACCACGGAAACCAAAACGACAAGACTCAACACTGTCTAATATAAGTCAGTCGAAAAAGTTGACATGGTTTTTCCTGGGAGGAAAGAAAGCAAAGTGAATTTTGATGTAAAAACTACACACAGAAGTCTAAATATACCAAATTATCTTCCTAGACAGGGATGTCCAGAAAATACTAGTTATGTGTCCAGTAATTAGTCAACTACTGAAAGCATACAGTGTCGACAAGAACTGTGTGTGTGTCTAGTTATGTGATTGATCTCATTGTGTGATGTAACAGCCATGATCATTGGATTACACAGTGCTGTCCTGGTGCCACAAGTCTTCCATTTGATCATTGTTCTGCTAAGAGAATATATCATTGGATGATAAGACAGTAATACAGATTGTTTTAAACTATGATTGGCCATATGTTGGCTCGATCTCATGCTAGTATAGATCCTTTCTGTAAAATCTAATTTATTTATTTCTCCTTCCTCTCTTTTCCTTCTTCAACTTCGATCTACTTTCAATTTCTTTTATAGATGTGAGTGTTTTTATTATAACCATTTTCATATAGGCCTAACCCTTTTATAAAGTCTTGGGTTTTTATCCATTATAAACCACTTAACCCCACCCTACCTCCACAACATAACTCAACTCCCCATGTATGTAGTAATAAATTACAGATTCAAAATCTGATTTGGCAATTCATTTTTATATGCCCACTTTGAAATGTGGTAGTATATTGTCATCGCCCCCGTCTGTCCATCGGTCCGGCGCTTGTGGACACTCTAGAGACTAAAGTTAATATCCGATTGACTTTAAATTTATATACAGTGTTTAAGGCCATGAGACGAAGAAGCCTATTGATTTCCAGCGATTTCTGATTACTGCCAGAGTTATGGCCCTAGATCACTTCAAAAATCTTGTGGATGCTCTAGAGGCTACAGTTAATATCTGTTTGATTTTAAATTTATACACAGTGTTTAAGGTCATGAGACGAAGACGCCTTTTGATTTTCAGCGATTTCCGATAATTACTGCCAGAGTTATTGCCCTTGATCACTTCAAAAAATCTTGTGGACGCTCTAGAGGCCAAAGTTAATATCCAATTGACTTTAAATTTATACACAGTGTTGAAGGTCATGAAATAAAGGAGCCTATTGATTTTCAGCGATTTCTGATAATTACTGCCAAAGTTATGGCCCTTGATCACTTTGAAAAATCTTGTGGATGCTCTAGAGGCTAAAGTTAATATTTATACACAGTGTTTGATGTCATGAGACAAAGAATCCTATTGATTTTCATTGATTTCCGGTAATTACTGCTCAAGTTATCATCCGATTGACTTCAGATTGATACACAGAGTTTAAGATCTTGAGACAAACAACAGCTAAATCCATGATATTAAAAGTTTTGTATACTAAACGTTAGCATGGGGCAGAACTTTATAAAAACCAAACAAATTCTAATGTTTTTCTGATAATTACTTCATGAGCTGTTACTCTTAATCAGATTTTAGTGTAATCTAAATGTTTCATTACCGAAAAAAGTAAAACATGCGACAAAACTTGTTGACTGCCCGGACGATTTAGCTGCTGTGGGCGTATGTTTCGTTGCCTGGCAACCTATCTTTATATGTCCTCATCCCTATTGTGGACGTATGCTGTCGCCTGTGTGTGTGTCTGTGGTTCGCCTGCAGGCCACAATTCTTAACTGATCATCTTGAAACTTTACATACTTATTCCTTATACTCAAAGGATGATCCCTATTGTTTTTGGTGCATGCCCGACACCAGGGGCAGAGCCACGCTCATTTCTTGTATTTGTTTGTTTGTTTGTCGTCTACAGGCCGCATTTCTTAACATATCAACTTTACATACTTATTCCTTATGCCAGGCAACCTATCTTTTGTTAATATTTAGTCTCTAAATTTGGCAAAACAAACCCAACGCCTAGTCATTGCAGCTATTTCATATTTTATTCTCTTTATTTTAAAAAGTACCATATCAACGAAAGCAGGGATGTGGACGTATATTGCAGCATTAGCGATGCTCTAGTTTTTTTTGCCATGTGTTTTGAAGATATTGGTTATATGTAATGATTTGCTCAAAGCAAGATTTTGAAATACTACTAATCCTCCCTCAACCCTCCCCAACAAAGTCTTCCTTGGCTTGCCCCCCCCCCCCCCAACAACAACACATTCCATGTCTTTCACAGATTTCATAGTTTATCACATTTTTAGAACATTTGTTCTTTAAATTGTTTTTCGTATTTTTATGAAATGAAAGGCCAATCTGGTTAAAACACAGATCCTATTTCGTTTTGTTTTTATAGTTCAAAATTTCATTTTACTTGTCTTTACTACACATGGATCTGGAAGAGTTGTTATTTAACTCGTGTTCTGAATGGTGTCAGGGATAAGCCAATGAAACAGTCTGTTACGGCGAGCTTTAGGCGTGTTTTTCACGGAACTGTGGGTAATCCACTAGTAACATCAATGCTGATTGGTTAATCAAATGTCTGACGTCAAAAGGGTCATAAGTCGGTCTTTTGACCCCTGACGTGACCTATCGCTATAACTTGTCAGATCTTCATGTAGTGTAGGCCATCAAAAGTATATAAAAACGAAACGAAATATAGATCTGTATTTTAATCAGATTGGTGAAAGGCTGACCTGGGATGGACATTATTGAATAACAGTTAGAGAAATATTTATACTTTACTCTTTTTATACGCCCACATTGTAAAATGAAAGCAGAAGATTAAAAATGTTCTGATTTAAAATAAATGACATGCCGTTGAATATGTCCATCTGAAGTTCATTTTAAATTTACTTAAAGCAATTTATCTGTTGTAAATCATATGCCTGTAAACTTTCATAGAAACTATAATAGTTAAAGAATAGATAATGGAAAGGGAATATGTTGAAAATTTGTAATTGAATTATTAAATTGCAATCGTCTTTAAATCTGTTTTGGGATCAAAGTTTCATTTGGGTGACAGTAAAGTTAAAGATATTCATTCTTTGAGAAACAGATTATGTTCTAATTCTGCCTTAAAATTATGCATTTCAATTTTACAGCTGTGTTATAATTAATAATTAGTTTGTTAACCTAAATCTACTCTACCCATAACTTCACCTGAATGAAAAACATGTACAGGTAATTTATTGCTACTGACATTTATTTATGTATTCTTCTGTGTAAATATGTAAACTAATCAGCTGACAATCTTGAATTCTGATACAAATGGACAATATTATTGTCACAGAAACATATCGTTAAAATCATCACTATTAACCATGGTCTCACATTTTCATATATTGTCATAGCCCCTGTCCGTCCAGACGTCCACAGATCACAATTTGTATCCGATGTTGACGAAAGTTGAAATATAGGTCTATCTCCCTATCGAAATTGGCATGTATCGGACCGTAATTCCATGGATTATGGCCCCTGATTTTACGAAAATCACGTTTTTAGCTTCTGGGCACACTAGAGGTCACAATTTTCATCCAATTTTAATGAATCTTGAAATGTTTGTTTAAAACCCAAAGATCTTGGTTCCTGTCGATATTCATGCATATTGATTGTAACTTCCTGGATTATGTCCCCTGATTGTACAAAAAATCGCGTTTTTAGCTTGTGGACACCATAGAGGTCAAAATTTTTATCCGATTTGAAAAACCGTTTGTATATAATATATCACTGTTTTACCCTAAGGAAATGTGGGCGGTCCGGCGTCCACAATTGCTTGTGGGCACTCTAGAGGCTAAAGTTAATATCCGATTGACTTTAAATTTATACACAGTGTTTAAGGTCATGAGACGAAGAAACCTAATGATTTTCAGCGATTTTCGATAATTACTGCCAGAGTTATGGCCCTTGATCACTTTAAAAAATCTTGTGGGTGCACTAGAGGCTAAAGTTAATATCCGATTGACTTTAAATTTATACACAGTGTTTGAGGTCATGAGTCGGAGAACCATATTGATTTTAAATGATTTCCGATAATTACTGTCAAAGATATGGCCCTTGATCACTTTGAAAAATCTTGTGACGCTCTAGAGGATAAAGTTATCATCCGATTGACTTCAGATTGATACAGAGAGTTTAAGGTCTTGAGACGAACAATTATATTGATTTTCAATGAATTTTTATGACTTGAAAAGCTAAATCTATGATGTTAAGAGTTTCGTATACTAAACGTTAGCATGGGGCAGAACTTTATACAAACCAAACAAATTCTAATGGTTTTCTGATAATTACTTAATGAGTTGTTAGTCGTAATCCGATTTTAATGTATTATAAATGTTTCATTACCGAAAAAAGTAAACATATGCGACAACTCTTGTTGACTGCCCGGACGATTTAGCTGCTGTGGGCGTATGTTTTGTTGTCTGGCAACCTATCTTTTAGCTTGTGGTCCCTCTAGAGGACACAATTTTTATCCAATTTAAAAAGCTGTTCGAATATATCACCATTACAACATAATGATGGTCGAGTTTGAATTTCATGAAAATTGGACCGAAACTGCTGGACAAAATGGCCGCTCCTCGTATGCAAATAATGTAAAATGTGGTATATGAAGGTTGTGGACCCTCTAGAGATCACAATTTTGATCAAACTTTAAATTATGTTTATAACACATAGATATGGGTTTCTTTCAATAATCGCGCATATCCTTGATTATGGCCCCTGATTGTTCGAATAATAACGTTTTTAGCTTGTGGACCCTCTAGAAGTCACAATATGTATTTAATTTTAAAAAACGTTTAAATATATAACTGTTACACCCCAATGAAGGTTGAGTTTGAATTTCTTAAAATCCGACCGAAACTGCTAGACAAAATGGCCGCTCCTCGTATGCAAATAGTTTTTTTTGTTGACTTGCTATATGATAATAACTGACAGTGCTGTTCAATAATAATAATATATAATCACTATTATTGATGATGTAAATATGTATAAACTTCTAATAATAAATATCAAAATAAAAATATTACAAACTTAATATGGCTTCAATCATTTGTCTTCAATATCTGACTGACTTTATGAGAGTAAGAGGGAGTACCAGTTAAGTCTGGAAAAGAAATGTGCCATTACCGTATCGTATGTACATTTGCCAGGGGCGTAAATGTGGGGGTAGGGCAGTACGATATTGCAAAAAGGGACGATATCGATATTGGCATTTTTTTCAACGATATAGTAAAATATCGCGATATTTAATAATAATGTCATTTTGCTATTAAATTAATTAAATATAAATGCATTAAAGCTGACTACAGTGTGAGTAAGAATTGCTTTATTCAATCATAGGCCTACACTTTAAACGTTGCTTTTTTTATAATATAGATTTATTAAAATGAACAAAACAACATCCTTTTTTGATAAAAACGTTTCAATGCTTTTTAACACAATAACAGGAGACATTACTTATGCATGTACATATAATTAAATTAAATACAACCGCTGATGTTTAAAAAACGTCTGCTTGTGACCTTGAGTAAGAAAATTCTCAATTATCACGTGCAGTGGAAGTAAGTAGATGCGGTCTTCAAGTCTTGTTTAACAGATACTAAATGATCCGGACTATCTTCCATTCAAGCATTCGATTGGCTGCGGTTGGCCTAACAGTGACAGTAATCTATTTACTTTAGATCGTTTTATTCTTGCTTTCAGAAATTAAGTTTCGTAGAGTTTTCTTAAAATATTCGTTTTTTAAAAATATGACAACCTATTTATAGCCGGGTAATTAGCCACGGTAGTGGGAAATTCCAGGCGTTTAGTAGTAACAACTGACAATTTATTGTCGACTTAAAACAAAGTAAAAGTAACGCATACACGATGTAGTGAAAAACGGCTGCGGACACTGCGCAAGTGTTTTCAACATTTAACGATTCTCAAAACATTAGTTTTATTATAGTTTATTGCCGTCGGCTAATTTCCACTGCTGTATAGTGTATTTATTATCTATTTTTATGATCATTTTTTTTCGATATTTGAAGTTTTTGGCGATATTCGATAAACCACTTTATCGACGATTTTGGCCAACTGATATCGTAGTTGGGTCTGAAAATACCATATCGCGATAAATGACTATATCGAGAATATCGTACAGCCCTAGGTGGGGGGTACCCCCCCCCCCCCCCCAGGAAGAAAAATAATCGGTCGCAATATCAGTGCAGTCGGTCGCAAAATAAGAGCAGTCGGTATCAAAATAAGTGCTCCCTGCATACGTCACGCTACTCACGCAAAACTTTAGTATAAAATAACCTTGTCAACTTATCATGTTTGAAAAAATGTTGTGTTTCACTATTATTCTGTTGTGAGTATATTGGTCTATGAATTAAATTTCCCCCAGGGAGAAAAATTGGTCTTAAAATAAGTGCAGTCACTGTGACAGTCGGTCTCAAAATTATGCATCGGCGACTCAATGAATTAATAATTTAGGTAAACAAACAATGCCAGAATAGATCCTAAATACTATGTATTTGTGTGAATCCGTGAGCCTAAATTGCATACGTCACACAAAACTATAGTTTAAAATAACCATGTCTGCTTGTCATGTTTGAAAAAATGTTTATCACTCTTATTCTGTTGTGAGTATGTTGTTCTATGAAATGTTTTTCCCCCATGGCAAAAAAATAGTCAGTCTCAAAAAAGGTACTCACCGCAGTCGGTCTCAGACTAAATGAATTAATGAGGTAAACAAACAATTACAAAACAGGCGAAATTGACAGATAGGTCACTATTCTGTCTCATTTCTTATCCTCTCGTTAGCGAGAATTTGGTTCCATTTGCCATGAAAAATTAAAAGCTCGGTTACATATCTGAAATTTTTTCGCGCCTGCGGCGCTCGATTCCGTTATAACATCATTCTTCTAATCCTCTGTTTTCTTATGCTGTCTCAGCACTATCATATTTACGGTTATAGTGAACTGCCCAGTTATTCTGGTGTGAGGGTCGTGGGGCATCAGAATATACAAATGTTATGTCAACTCTTGCAAAACAGGCGCAATTATTGACAGGGGCAGATCTCGAGATTCCGTCCCATTGGCTCACATTTCTGGTCTTCTCGTCCACAAGACTTTCTCCCAGCAATGACCTCAAATGCTAGGATATTGACTCAATTTTTCACCTTTTTCTCCGGTTGCTCAGTGTTATATATGACATAAACTTTATGTCAACTAAAGCCCGGCCCATACCGCTACGACTACACACAAGCCGACAGGACTCAGCGTCTTGGGTAGTTGTAAAAAAAAATCGGGTCGCGCCTTTACTTCACTTGCCTACGACGGTACCAGTCCACACAGGCCCGACAGGACTTCAATGCTGGGTTGTAGAGACATGGGCGTGCCTCCCACATGTAAACCAACCCATCCTCTCTCTCTCTTCTGTCCAAAAATCTGCCATCTTGAATTTTCCCTCAGTTAAACAAGGAGCACATGACCTTGCACAGTCAAATGACTAAATGCTACTCTCTGATTGGCTAAACATCAGTAAGACAGTTGATCGTGTCTTGTGAGTGTCCACACAAACACGATAAGTTACGACTGCAACCAACTGCATCCGACTACGATTGAACATGTTCAATCGGGCCGACGGGCCACGACGCGACGGAAATCGATTGAAAAAAAAAATCGGGTCGCGCCTTTACTTCACTTGCCTACGACGGTACCAGTCCACACAGGCCCGACAGGACTTCAATGCTGGGTTGTAGAGACATGGGCGTGCCTCCCACATGTAAACCAACCCATCCTCTCTCTCTCTTCTGTCCAAAAATCTGCCATCTTGAATTTTCCCTCAGTTAAACAAGGAGCACATGACCTTGCACAGTCAAATGACTAAATGCTACTCTCTGATTGGCTAAACATCAGTAAGACAGTTGATCGTGTCTTGTGAGTGTCCACACAAACACGATAAGTTACGACTGCAACCAACTGCATCCGACTACGATTGAACATGTTCAATCGGGCCGACGGGCCACGACGCGACGGAAATCGATTGAATCGTGGTCGTGGGACTGTCCACACTGCACTGATTATCTGAGACAAGACGTTGCGTTGTCTGGGCAAGTCGTGGCCGTATGGGCCGGGCTTTAAATAAAACTGCTTTCCGGCGAGACAACAACGATCGGCGAACAACTATATAATTATACAATACTGTCTATGTTCTACTGGGACGCTTAATGTTATAGCCAGTATTTTGTTGACATTCATTGTGGGTGGGATTGTGGATGGTGCCCTAGATTTGGAACCACCCCACCCACCCCCTATAGGTCCGCTCTGCACATGGCCCCTAGACAAAACTTGAAATATTAATTTATCCCCAAACGATCTCGGTTCCTGTCAAAATTGGCATGTATCGGACAGGAATTGTCCGTCTGTCCGTCACACTTTTTGGGACAAAATAACTCTCCTTCTAATTGAGCTAGAATGTTCAAACTTGATGTAGGTGTTTATTGGGTCAATGCATTGATTGAGTTCGAAGATGAAAATGAAATGAAATGAAATGGGGTTTAACGTCCTACTGTTCTGCTCCTAAACTGGGCTAATGAAGACGGGCATACGCCATACCGTGTGCTATGAGGGAAATTTTACCCGGGCAGCGGCACTATCGCCTACTCATATCGAATTCCAACTGCCAAGGGATCTTTTACGTGCATTCCAATGTATACACGGGACCTCGGTTTTTTGTCTCATCCGAAGGACTAGACAGCTGTCCTTGTCAGCCCCCCCCCCCCGTTCTGCACCACTGACAAGGGGAAACCACGTCGGAAATCGGGATGAACTTTCTCGGCCAATGCAGGGATCGAACACCCGACCCCCAGGCTAGCGAGCCAGCGCCTTAACCACCTAGCCACCGTGGCTCCCGAGTATTTTCTGCTTGGGGTAAGCAGAGATAATCAATTTGATTGGTTGATGCTTTGAGACACGATAACTTTAGTTCTAATTAAGTGAGAGTGATGAAACTTGGTGCATAGTTTCATTACATCAATACCTTGACTAAGTTCGATAATGAGTATTTTCTGCTAAGGGTAAGCAGAGCGATAAACAATTTGATTGGCCGAGACTTTGGAACACAATAACTCTCCTTCCACTCGGCTGGAATCTGCCGAGGTTTGCCGAGTGCCCTCTATCTGATTGAGGTAGAATCACAGAGTAAAAATTTGGAAGAATCAATGACGTAGATATATAGATAGACCGCGCAGACTACTAAATCGTCATTGGCCGCCATGACCAATCGCTGCTGACTTCCGCACGTGGCAAGAAGAATCCTATGTAAACAATAATAGTGAAGGTGACTTCTTAGCGTTACGTTCATAAGACACTTAGTTCATTTATTCTTTGACTGAATTATTTAATGAAATAAATATTAATTTCCAGACATTTGTTTAACTATTTAGCCCCCTAGAAATAATACCCGTGTTTGCTTACGGTACCCCCCCCCCCCTCCCCCCACCCTTCCACCCTTCCAAAAAATTTTGTCGGACGGATCAGTGTCGAAATCTTGGGTATTTTTGTTGTTGTCGTGGTGGGGTTTGTGGGGAAAGTTTGGATATATTTAACTGAACTAATAAATTAATCTTTTAATAACCTACATGCTGGAAATAATACCATTCGGACTAATTGCAATCACCGAAATATGTTTGGAAAGTGTGTTGGAAGAATTTGTTCCAATAAAAAGAGTACATTTTTCTTGACCCACAATGGATTTTTGGAAAACACAAAGAATAATATGAACAAATATTAGATTTAGTTACAAATACACCATCACATGAATAATTTTTTTCACCTTATTTTTAGCACAGGTTTTACATTTCAATGCTCAATTGAAAATTGACAGTCATGTGCCAAATGCACGATAGCACTATTTACCCAAATTCACATGTACCGGTACCCAAATCCAACATTATTTCAACTCTGATTATATTATTTTATATCTACATGTATTTGATAATATACCCTTCTTTATGTCAAATTGGTATTTTCAATTTAAAATCGTAAAATT